TTCCTGTGGGTAGGGAAAGAGTTAATTTATAGTAATTAATTTTATAGTAATTTATAGAAAAAATACATCAAATGGTAAGTAAGACATTATGCATCTATAAAACAAAATTATATTGATTTGAAAAAGTTATGGTAGTTTTAAGTAAACAAAATTGAAAAAATTTCGAAAATTAGCGATGTTTATATTTGTAATTTTTTTGAAGATATCCCCCATTTACGAGGAACGAGGGAAATTTTTTCAATTTTTGAGGGTAATGTCTTTGACTAGATACAATTTGTGAGCTTTTGACGTATCGTTGAAAGATATCGGTTCCGTGAGAGCTGAGAAAAAGTGGTAACAGACACAAAAAAAAACATCATAGTAAAATCAATACCTTTTCAGCTTCGCATCGAAGCTAAAAAATTTTGAAAATTGTATGTCGTTAAGTAATTTTTCTATGTTTTACTATCTTATAAGATTATAGGTAGGTTGTAAATTTTAAACTCTCACGGTGAGTAGAATTTTGATCGAATTTTGAATTTTCGGATATTTTTACCTTCCTCATATCAATCATATTATAGAATAGAATAATTATAATTATTGAGAAACGGTAAGAAAATCGTTTTATGGAAAAAAAGTGCCGCAAGAAATTTGGACACTNTACAGAGTGTTTTCACTCTGTATAGGCTATTTAAATGCTGTATTCGAGTAGATGTACTAAAGTAGCACTCAGCCTTTTTACTTAACAAATCTTAACAAGTTTATCATAAATCGTTTTGGTACCTTAATACATTAAGTTATACGCGTCTTTTTTGCTTTTTATATCCACATTCTAGTTAATATCAAGTAAAATATTTTATATAATTTTTCAATAAACGAACTTTTATACTAACAAAATACTTAACCGTTTCTTGTATTATAACTTTTTATTCTAACAATATTGTATTATTATTTTGTTTTATATAATATAATCCAAACATACATTTGGATATATATTTATAATAAGAAAATAAATAAAATAATAATTGACTAAGATTATAACAATAACAAATACAATTTTGGGAATGAATACAAATTATTCACCGTTTCTTGATGAGTTTCACTTTCATTCCATCGCCAAAATAACGAATGATGATATGTTAAAATGGACGTGTCCGAGCAAATCCGTTTAGGTCGAATACACCACGTTGAATTAATCACTGAAAGTGAATCGCTACTAGTACAAGCTTGTATATTCTATTTACCTGCACATCTAGAATTTTATGATTGCAGCCTTGTCGTTTATTTTTCTGGCCAATAGTCATGGGAAAGCATGAAATAATTAAATTTCACATTTTCTTACTTAAATTCTCTACACTGAAACATCATCTAGAACATAGCTACTGATTGATCATACATGGTAAGTAATTAAAATAAACCATAACCCAAATGTTTCCATTAGTTTTATTTAAATTTTTCCCTATTTCAATTGAGATACTATATAAATACAGCGTTCCACATAAATAGAACGTATAGATGTCACTTCAGTAATATTACTCAATATTTTTATTTCATTATGCCTAAACGTCTGTTCTAGTATTATAATTTATTTTGATTAATAATATACTAACACTTTCTAAACAGATATACATTTATTTATTTATGATTTTGTTATAAATACATAATATGTATTATAATATATTATATTGATATTGTTTATAATGTATATTGAATCGTTTAAATAGAATTTTTCAAAATCAAACGTAGTTTTTAAAAAAGGCAATTTTTCTGGCAATATCAATGAAATGTGCTCCTAAAAGTATCAATGGTGGTTTGGTCAATATATTTACAAAAAA